CAACAAAAGAAACGATACAAGGCAGTGTATTTTCCATATATAATAAAATTGGATAAACTGTACCAAGGAAAAAAATAATTGCCTAATTGGTCTAATTTTTATACATGAAGGGTGTTATTTTCTTATCAAAACCAATGATTTACGGCAAAAACACGAATTTTTTATCTCAAATTTTTGTTCTTCCAAAAATCGTATGTTTTACCAAAAATTTCAAAATCGATATTAGAACTTACAATTTAAAACTTAAACATGGTTTGCTTAAAATTTTGAATGTCTTTGCAGATATTTGAAAAGTTAATTCTCATCTTCGAAATTAAGTGCCTACATTTGTCATCATTTTCCGCAAAATTAATTTGACCCCTGTGTTCAATAACTCGATATTTTCTAACTTTCAAATTTGGTCAGATTATTTTAATCATATGCCTTTGTTTTGTAAATGCATATTTTTCATTGGATATTTAACAGTTTTTTTTATTTATTATATTTTATGATAAATTGTAGTTCAAACTTGTGTATCGTTTCATTTGTTGACTAGTACATTTGATTAATATCTAATTTCCCGGGAGGCGCTTTCTATAAAAATATTTTTTGTTTAAGCTTAAGAAAGCAACAATATTCTAACAGGACACCGATTAGTTGAGTATTATTTTGGTAATCGATACTCGCCTCATTACAGCTTTCCACGGGTTTACGTACTAGGAAGAAATACATCTCAGTTCTATAATTATTCATAATTTGTTCTGGTTGATTGTCAGTCAGACTATTATTTTATGCCTCAAAAGTTACTGTTTTGGCTTTTGTTTCTCACTTTCAAATGTCTCTTTTTTATGGATTTACGAGATTTGAACATAGGTAAACTGCTGTCGACTTTTTTTTCTTTTGCATTGTGGTTCTTTTTATCTCTAGTTATATTTATTGAAGGATCACGTGTCGTGCGCACTTATGTTGTTTGGATGATCGGAATAAGTCGGATTTGAATCTTGTGATGGCGTCCGTAAAATTTACGAATGGATGATTTCAACTTCACCACTTGGAACTCATGGTTTAGTAGCTTCGTTGTGAGCAACAATCCTCTATCAAGGAAGTCATGATAGAAAATACAAGCCCTGGAATATCGTATCAAGTGGGAAATATATACTCCGTATGCAGGCGCTACCGGAATGTTGCTACATAGATATAGAAAGTTCACAATTGGGAAGCTGAAATCATCTCTTTTGTCGTATAGTTTTGATTTCATCCGACCCTCATTGTCAATTTCTAGATGTAAGTTCAGATATGAGGTAGACTTAACTGTATCTGTTGTATCCTCTATTTCAAGTTCGATGGGATAGATGCGTTCAACATAGTCACCAAATTTTGAATTATTCAGTGAGAAAACATCATCTATATAGCGTAAAGTGAAGTTAAAGGATACTGCTAAGTAAACTTCTTTTTTTTTTTCATCCTAAGAAGATCCTGTATGAAGTCAGCCTCATATGAATAAAGAAACAAGTCGGCAAGAAGAGGAGCATAGTTGGTTCCCATGGGAATGCCGAATGTTTGTTCAAAAACACGTTATCCAAACGTAACAAATATCAGTGGGAAATCTAGTGACAAAATATTACCTCCCCTGTAAATACTAAAAACTAGATCTTCTCAATGTTTGTCCCGTTTTAGCAAGGACGCTATCAATCATGGATTCACGGGAAAACGTTCTGGTAAATAGTAAAACTAGAAATAAGTTGAAATCTTCCATTTAATGTTATCATTTCCCTCCTTAAGAAGCAAACAACGAGTACAGAAGGCTATATAAGCTTGATGTAAAACTGGTTTAAAATGTTGCTATGCCAAATTCAATTCATTTTTCTACTGGCTGTAAATTTCTCTGGAATATGCTAATTATCTGTATATATATGCAGCTAGATTAGAGAAAGTCAGGGGAAAAAATTCTAAAGTAATCGATTAATATGCAGCAAAGATTATCATTTTTTAGATTTCAGTTTCACAAGCTTCTAATTCAAATTTCTCGATAAATACTGAACATAAAACATCGTGTATTTGCATGTATATTTCTAATAACATAGTTTAACAAATATTTTCTTTAAAATGTACTATTATTATTTAGAAATAACTTTTGATCTGTATCGTCACCGGCATTGTCTTATTATTGATTTTTCTCGACTCGACTCGACTCGACTCGAGTGAAGTTTTTTTTGTTTTCGTTCACTAGATTTACCACTGTATGTTTTCAATCAAGAAATCAAGAATCTTGATAATTTACAATATCTCTCTCTCATTTCTTAATCATTCAATTAACGCCAGTTGAGAATAAATATTAGGAAAATTAACTTTTATCAGACTGAAAAACCTATTTTTGTAAAGATATAAACAGATAGATTTTCCGTAACGGTTAAGCAACTAGTGTTGGCGTTCATGAACTTTTCGAAGGAATGACTTCAACTACATCACTTCAAACTCTTGGTTAAATAGCTTCCATGTAAGCAGCAATTCTCTATCAATGAAATCATGCAAGCTATAGAATATCGTATCAACTGGGATATATTACTCTATGTATGGGTGCAGCTATATAGAAATGGACTTTTCACAATTAGAAGGCTGAAATCTTCTCTTTTGTCGTTAAGTTTTCATTTCAACTGAATCTCACTGTCAATTTCTGGATATAATTCAACATATTAGTCACTCTTAAATCTATTTGCTGTGTCCTTTATTTCAAGTTCGATAGGTTTGATGTGTTCAACACAGTCACCAAACTTAATATTATTTAGTGAAAGAACATCATCTATATAGCTATGTTCTTTTCATTTTTTGAAAATGTCAGTTTCAGATCAAAAGTCTTCTTCTTTAATATTTATCAACGGATTATCAACATTTGCATTCGCACAGACAAAACTATATTGAAATTAATTTAGAAAACATATACCGGTATCCGATCGGTACTATAAAAAGAACATGACTTGCGATATAAGCGAAGACTTCTCAAAATAAAAGAGCATTCTATATGCTCTACGAAAAGAATACTAGCTTAAAATATCATATTTGTCTTTAAAAAAAACTTGTGCTATCTGTTTCGCTGTTGTTACGGCTTGAATGATAAATATATTACGTTCAATGAAATTGTTTCTTAGTAACTACAGTTGAGATATTTAATATAGTTAGTTGAAATATTTCGTAGAAAGTTGTCAAAATTGTCTAACAGAGAATATCTGACTCGTATCTCATTTTTGCGTCAGTGATTAAGATTATATCGTTTCAAATAGTTTGATATTTTAAAATTTTAAATCGACTTATTGCTGTCCAAATCTTGTGTGTTTAATGATTGTTTTTCAAGATTTGCGCGATTATTTAATAGTTTCAGTTACTTGAAGCAATATAGAAGCAATTTGTTTCGTATTTTAATTGTTTGCTCTTCAACTTCGTACTTTATTTGGTCTTTTTAACTTTTTTTTATTCGAGCGTCATTCATGAGTTCAAAAGTTAAATCCTGGTATTTATGATGAGTTTATTTGATATAAAATAAGCGAGACACAGGGGGTATTTTTCGATGAAAACAAACTCTTACACTATGTCATACCAGTCGTCTTGCTCATGAAAATTCAATATCCAGTGATGAGTATGAGTATGATAAAACATCCTATCACAAACGGAGAAAGTAGGGCTGGTTGTAGGAAAAATTAATATTTTCTTGGTAATTTTATGAAGCAGATTACTCATAGTTGAATGTTACAGAAGATAACTCAACGTGATAACAACTTCATGGTTCGTTTTTTTTTAGTGAGTTGTTCATTTTTTACTTTACTTAAATGTAATCGGAAAAAATTGAAGTTTCTTTGTTTCACATTATCTTACTATGTAGTTTAGACTAAGGTTGCTAACTAGTTAAATGGCAGTATACAAATACGTTTTTACTAAACTTACTTACCAGATTTTACAATATGGCGACGTCGCTTCGCTTGTTTTTTTTTCGTAATAATATTACGGAAATGTTGTATGATTACCAATGAGACAATTATAAATGAGGATCAAAGAACTGACTACAATTGACAATAGTGCCTTCAACAATGAGCAAAACCAGTACCATATAGTGCTCTGTAGAGGTCTTGGGAAGACAACATATTGAGCAATTCATGGCAGAAAAACGGCTTGATACATACTGCAACTATAAAAAACATAAACCAATTATACCATACTAAAACAAATAACATGGGAAACTTGGAAAAGTCGCATGAATAATTTGGCTGGTTAAGCATGTTTGTGACAAACCGGCCGTCATACTTACCTGCGAGACATGTTATTTGAATATAATCTTTTTGATTGTATTTCACAGCTCAGTGGTGAAAATCATTAGTGATTAAAGTTAATATTCTCGTCATAGTAAGCACGGTAAGGCACATGATTTGTAATTGATAGTCAAAATGCGTTTTCCATCATTTATCTATAAAAACATTTTTTAACATACTATTACAATCTGAGTTGAAAATTACAAGATGCAATCAATATCAGAAAGTTGATATTGCTCGATTAGTCATTATCATGTAATGCTGAGGATCTGTAGTAATCATTATTAAAAATAAGTAAATATCTTCTGATAATATCTTAAAACAAAGTCAAAATTACGTTATAAAACAGATATTATATAACGTTGACTCTAATATGACTTGCTGCCTTCTCTTTTCAAGTAATAGCATGACAAATTGTCGATACATTTATATTTAGCACAGACAAACATGATGAAGTTTTTGAGATATTTGTTGTTTCATAATCGATTCATTTATATTGATCGGACATTTATGGATTTCAGTAGGTCAATATGGCGGCTCCTTTACTAACTTAGAAATGTTGTAAACATTCAAAGTACCATTTTGTCGGCACCAGATGCGTATTTCGACAATAACTGTGGATTTAAAGATGCTACATGTTATTTAAGAAATAATTCATGCAAGTCATGTATCTTACTACAGGGGGTAAAATAGAAAAGTCACACAAATGGATCACTTTCGCAGCGATGTTAAGGCAATTTCGATAAGATTTTGTCAGGGGCAGATAACCCCGTAAGGACCTCATTATGTATTCATATATTCATTAATGGCGAAAAATCCGTAAGCAGCGTCTATCGATGAAACGGTATGAAATCAAATTACATACATGCCTGTCAACTAAAAACAGGTATTCATATGATGTAATTTGTGTATCGAAACACGAATATTGTATGTTTGTGCTATAATTATTATGGCAAACAGTTGCAATAGCTGTTTTTCTTGACGAGATTGTCGGCTTTTGGACCCCGCCTCGTTTTGCAGATTAACCAATCAGTGAACGATCGCCGTCAAAAAGATGTTTGTAGTTTGCAGAATGGAAAGAACCTTGCAGCGAAAATTATTTTCACTTCTACGTGAAAATCTAACCAGAAAAGTAAGTGTAAGCCACCAAATATGTATTATTTAGGAAACATACGTTGCTTGTTTTGTTAATCATTCGCTTCAGAAAGCGAAAAACTGCATACTATTAGATAAAAGCGAGTTCAGTGTTGGCAAGTATGATATACACGTGGTCAAAACGAAACTAGACTGCAACAAATATATGAAATTTGAATAATTTATCGATTCCCGTCAATAAATGAACAGAATATCGAATGAAACAAGTTTCCTGCATTATACCAAGAGCCAATTCTCAACATTTACCCTTAAATTCGTTTCAAACTTTCGTTTCGAAGCCGAAGGTATCCTGCCATTCCTGGTTGGGTACATTTGCTCCACCGTTCACTTCTCTCCGGAACCCACGTTGCTGGACTAGAGCCATGATCTCTACCTTCAAAGCATCGAGCTTTTAAAGGAGCCCTAAACACGTAATCTGGAGCTCGACCACATATGGTGTAACCCCCCCCCCCCCACCAACCTCTACTCTCACCATAAAATCAGAAAAAAGTCCCGCTTGTAATAAAGTTGCTTATTCTGTGACAACAGACCAGAGTGCAGAGGCACGAAAGTACGCAAATCGCATTATCAATTTATAAATGGAGAAGGCCACAGCTCTTAAGGAACCAATAGATTAAGGGGGGTCTCATTCTTATTGCTCTGAATGTTAGTCTACTACAAGCCGCTGAGACAAAAAAAATTACAACACATACAAGTCATGCAAGTGTTATGGACCAACAAGCGTAACAGTTAAAACAAACCAGACACCATGAACACAAATTAAACAAAAATAATCATAAATGAAATATCAGTTATCACACATACTTGAAAGAAGCATATTTTTATTTGGAGCTCCGCCTAAGAATCATTGCTGGTGAATCATTCAGACAATATCTCTAAACAGCTTTCACCAATCTTCATGAAACTTTGGTGAATTGTTTGAATTTATTGACAAAAGTTTTCTTTCCATTTCTATTAGGTATTTTTGATATCTGGTTTTTGAGTATTCATAATTATTTATTCATAATAAAGGGTCGAAATTATGGCGTTTTTCGGACAATGACTCAAAATCGCTTAAACAAATTTTCATGAAACTTTGCTTAAATGTAACGTAAGCTCCCTTAAGATTTTTTTATATATTTTAGATTTTACTTATTCCAGTTATGGGATTTTGTTCATAAAAATTTTCATGAATTGTGCCACTGTGCGCAAGTTTTTTTTTTTTTATCTTGTATACCCCCACTTTTAGTCTTTAAAAAAGTGGGGGTACACATGTACTGTTTTACTTCTGTCTGTACATCCTAAAGTCAGTCGGTCCGTCCGTCCCATGAATATTTTGTGTCGCATCTTTCTCAGGAACATTACAGGGATTTCTGAAATTTCAGGTTTTAGAGTTTATATGAGTCAGCTATACCGTGTCATGCTTTTTCAGATTCATCACTCAACAACTTTCTGTTTACCTTATACTTTAAGGGTATGGGGGTATAATAAGTGAGCAGTAAATCAAAGATTCACTTGTTTTTTATACGCCCGTTTACGGGACGTATTATGGTATACCTTTGTCCGTCAGTCTGTCCGTCCGTTTGTCCTTCGTCAACATGTCGGACATTAACTCAAAAACGCTTTAACCAATTTGCATAAAACTTTGATGAATTGTTTATACCTATTGACGTGAGCTCTCATTCGTTTTTTTTTAATTTTAGATTTAACGTTTCCGAGTTATTGGGTTTTATTCATTAAAAAAAGGGGGATTTTCCAGTTTTCGGACAATAACTCAAGAATGTTTTCACCAACTTGCAAGAAGTTGTGGTGAATTGTTTATATCTATTGACATGAGCTCCCTTTTGATTATTATAAATTTTAGATTTTATGTTTCTGAGTTACAGGGTTTTATTCATATAAAAATGGTGGATTTTCCAGTTTTCGGACAAAAACTCAAAAATGCTTTCAGCAGTTCTTATGAAACTTTGGTGAATTGTTTATATCTATTGATGTAAGCTCCCTTTAGAGTTTTATAAATTTTACATTTTACATTTCTGAGTAATGGTGTTTTATTCATTAAAAAAGGGGTGATTTCCCAGTTTTCGGAGAATAACTCAAAAATGCTGTCAGCAGTTCTCATGAAACTTTGGTGAATTGTTTATATCTATTGATGTAAGCTCCCTTTTAAGTTTCATAAATTTCTAATATGACATTGAGAATTAATTGGACTTTATTTGTTTATAGTCTCACAACAGAAAAGTATTGCACATCAGCACAGTGTATTGAACAACAGCAAGAAATCTTTAATTGAATATAAATTCCTCTGTGGGCGTATCCAGCTGCGCTCAGCGAAACAGTTTATTTAGATTTTTTTTGGGGGGGGGGGGGGGGGGGGGGGGCTGGCTATTTTGAGCAGTGAGTGCTCTCAGCATTTCTAGTTAATCATCATGATCATAAAAATTAATTTAAGACATAAAGACGAGCTAAAATGACAACACGCGTATCATGTGTTCATGGCACAGCTCTTTATTTGCATAGGATGAAGCAATTCCAGAAATCTGAGAAAAAATAGGCATTATATCTACATGTGTATGAATAAAATTCTGATATCAAATAAGGGTTGTGTGGCAGACGTAATTTCTTTATTCAAGAAATTATATGAATCATTATACACATGTTTATGCTCCTTATTTTAAAAAAAGTATCTATTTGTAATTAAATAACTACTTTCTCTTTATTTTTTAGCTCACCTGTCAATTACAAGATACAGTATGCCATTCCAGCTTTGATAAATATAAAGTAATGGTTTGAATTTGGAGAGCTTTATTATTATAGACAGGTAAATTGTTTTATCCTGCAATTAGCACACTATTGTACAATGAGGCAACTCTCCTCAAGAGTCCAAATGATGCAGAAATTAACAACTTTAGGTCACCTTATGGCCTTCAACAATGAGCAAAGCCCATAGTCCATTATATAAAAGGCCCTGAGGTGACATATGTAAAACATTTCAAAGGAGAAAACTAACGGCCTAATTAATGTAAAAAAAAATGAATGAAAAAACAAATATGTAACACAGCAACAAATGACAACCGCTGAATTACAGACACATACATACAGAATGTGGCGGGGTTAAACATGTTAGAGAGCCTGGCTTTCTTCCTGTTTTATAATTTGTGCAAATAAATTTCTGTTTTCTTGCATTGTAAGAATATTGTATGATGTAAATTCAGAAATTATTGCCATATTTTTATAAGGCAACTTTGAATATCGCAATTATAAGAATTCATATTCTGAAATCTATACATATAAGTAACTGTACAAGTATGTAGATTTTTCTGAAATCACAATTATTAATCTCACTTTTTTGTCCAATTTTCAAAATTTGCATTAATAAATGTACCCAATAATCATGATAATTTTTATTCGACTGCAAAAAAATTTTGCAGTCGTATATTGGTATGACATTGGCGTCGTCATCGTCCGAAGACACATTTGTTCTCGCACTCATACTTAAGTTGAAGTGAATGGATCTCTATGAAATTTTACCATAAGGTTCAATACCACAAAAGGAAGGTTGGGATTGATTTTGGGGGTTATGGTACCAACAGTTAAGGAATTAGGGGCCAAAAACAAGCATTTTTGTAACTTCCAGACATAACTTGTGTGTAAGTGTATGGATCTCTCTGACATTGTACCACAAGGTTCCATATCACAAAGGGAATGCTGGGATTGATTTTGGGGGTTATGGTACCAACAGTTAAGGAATTAGGGGCCAAAAATAAGCATTTTTCTAGTTTCCTGACAATAACTTGTGTTCAAGTGTATGGATCTCTCTGAAATTGTACTGCAAAGTACCATACCACAAAGGGAAGGCTTGGATTGATTTTGGGGGTAATTGCCTCAAAATTTTAGGAATTAGGGGCCAAAAAAGGGGCAAAAAACAAGCATTTTTCTAGTTTCATGACAATAACTTGTGTGTAAGTGTATGGATCTTTCTGAAATTGTACTACAAGGTTCCATATCAGAAAGGTACAGCTGGAATTGAGTTTGGGGGTAATTGCCCAAAACGTTTAGGAATAAGGGGTCAAAAATAAGCATTTTTCTAGTTTCCAGACAATAACTTGTGTTCAAGTGTATGGATCTCTCTGAAATTGTACTGCAAGGTACCATACCACAAAGGGAAGGCTTGGATTGATATTGGGGGTAATTGCCTCAAAATTTTAGGAATTAGGGGCCAAAAAAGGGGCAAAAAACAAGCATTTTTCTAGTTTCATGACAATAACTTGTGTGTAAGTGTATGGATCTTTCTGAAATTGTACTACAAGGTTCCATATCAGAAAGGTAAAGCTGGAATTGAGTTTAGGGGTAATTGCCCAAAACGTTTCGGAATAAGGGGACAAAAATAAGCATTTTTCTAGTTTCCAGACAATAACTTGTGTTCAAGTGTATGGATCTCTCTGAAATTGTACTGCAAGGTACCATACCACAAAGGGAAGGCTGGGATTGATTTTGGGGGTAATTGCCTTAAAATTTTAGGAATTAGGGGCCAAAAAGGGGCAAAAAACAAGCATTTTTCTAGTTTCAGGACATAACTTGTGTGTAAGTGTATGGATCTTTCTGAAATTGTACTACAAGGTTCCATATCACAAAGGAAAAGCTGGAATTGAGTTTAGGGGTAATTGCCCTAAATGTTTAGGAATTTGGGGCAAAAAAACAAGCATTTTTCTAGTTTCCAGACAATAACTTGTGTTCAAGTGTATGGATCTCTCTGAAATTGTACTGCATTGTAACATACCACAAAGGGAAGGCTGGGATTGAGTTTAGGGGTGATGAAACATAAGGGGGTTCAAAAAATTGGGGGGGGGGGGGTTTCCTTTTTTTCTTTAAAATTTTCCATTTTGAATTGGTTATTTCTGATTTATATATAAAAGCAAATAATAATGATATGGTTTGAATAGGTAAATTAAAAAAATTTAAGTTCTTAAACCACATTCATTCTGTGTCAGAAACCTATGCTGTGTCAAATATTTAATCACAATCCAAATTCAGTGCTGTATCAAGCTTGAATGTTGTGTCCATACTTGCCCCAACTGTTCAGGGTTTGACCTCTGCGGTCATATCAAGCTGCGCCCACATAGCATTTTATTTAATTTAATGAAGTATCTGTACCAACAATAAAATTTATTTACACAGACATGACAGATATTAATACAATAATATACTGAACTTTATAGCTAAAATTTCTTAGCTGTGGATTACTGATATTGATATTGAAGTATTCCTGTCATCATGGTCATAGTTTACATTTGGAAAAGGAGATACAAAACAATATCGTTAAACATAATACATAAGTTTAAATATTTATTACATAATACATCTTATAGGCACATCTGGGTTTTTCATTTAATTTTAAAGTTTTATAAAAGTAGTGCACCTTATTAAAATGTGTGTGGAAAATTAAATTCTTGTTCAAATGTTGAATGAAGACATTATAAAATAAGGACATGGGAATTATTAATTTATTTTGTTAGCATTTTAACAGTAAATTCTTGAAGAAGTATGTTTGCACTAACTTTTGATTACTTTTCACATGTTGAAAATTTCATTTAATATATATTATATTTGCATTTTCATATTTCAGGGATGATGACCTGCAGTGAGACAGCAGTAGAAAGTTACTTATAACTCATCATGGCCATTATGGAAGATCTGATTAAAATTTGTTTAGAAAGCCACCAAATATGTCCATGAAAAGTAGAAAAAAGACAGCAATTCTACATAATGTACTAAGCAGAAGCATTGACTGTTTCAAGACCAAATGAATTGGAATTTAGTGTTTTGATGCTGAGAGACAGAGGAATATTAACTGGACAATTTAGCTTCTTTTTCATCATCATTGAAGTTGATGTTTACCATCTTAAAGAGCTTTAACCTCAGTTAAAATGAATTCTAAATATAGGCAGTTTGGAGATTTGTGAATTTTCTTACAATTGGAGTTTCAAAAAAGGATTTCATTTAAAAAAAAATGTATTTCACTGATGTAATTTGTCGTCTCTTTCATGAAATATTTGAAAAATCTGCAATATCTAACCAAGTGAGAGATCTACAGATCATTTGCAGATAGACATATATATGATATTCAGTTGAACTGTAAAAAGGAAATATTCATTTATAAGACTTATATGAGTGTTTTGTTATTTTTATGGCAAGTACAGGGAAAAGATAAAGTAATTTGATTTAAACATTCATCCTACCTACAGATATACACGAGATATACATGTAGGCATACAATTCACTGATGCACGACAAATGGAGTTACATGTAATTTTAGAACTAAGAATATGACATACATGTATGATTGCCAATGAAACAACTCTCCATCAGAGAACAAATAGTCATATATTGTCCACCAGAGAACAAGAAAATCATATTTTATCATGATTTATATTTCAATTTCATTTCATAACACAGACTACAGGTTTACAAAAAGTTCAAAAGTATAATAAAAGTGTTTTAATTGCAGTTGTTGGTCATATTGATGTTGGCCTTCAATACTGAGCAAGACCTCTGTACACATGTAGCAGCCACAGAATGTTTGAACCAAAAAATTATGGGTATTTTTCTTTGCTTGCATTTATATCATGTAGCTGCTATTTAGTACATATGTACATTTTCATACATGTTCACGAATCACGTGTATCTAGTTTGTCTACCGGTATACTTGGAAATCTGGAAATTTTGCATGTTTTCATATTAGTCAAGTTAAAATTGGTTAAACCATTGTATTATTTTGGTTAAAAAATATAAATTGATTTAAATGAGACTGCAATAGTTAATCTCACATTTTTCGTCCTTTGTTCAATAATTATAATAATCTAGGGAATAAATTTTACTAAAAAATTTCTGTGTATTTTTAAAAGATATATAAACTTGGAAACTTGTGATGGAATATTTCCACAGTATAAGAGATTCTTATATCTAGCAGGTTTAGCAAAAGATGTTGGGTATACTATGTATACATGTATGGCAATGAGACAGCATTCCCAACACAGACAGATATTACTTTCTTCTTATTTTAAATTTAAAATTGAGAATGGAACAGCAGAAGGTCACCAATAGGTCTTCAATGCAGCGAGAAATTCTCGCACCCAGAGGCGTCCTTCAGCTGGACCCTAAACAAATATATATACTAGTTCAGTGATAATGAACTCCATACTAAACTCCAAATTATACACAAGAAATTAAAATTAAAAATGATACAAGACTTACAGAGGCCAGAGGCTCCTGACTTGGGAAAGGCGCAAAAATGCGGCGGGGTTAAACATGTTTATGAGATATCATATTTATGTAGTACAGCTAGAATTTGATATAAAAATAAGATGATGTGGTATAATTGTCAATGAAGTTTTGATTAACAATTAAGTTGTGTTACTTTTTGTGATTGGGTCAGGTAAAGATTAACCCATGATTTTTGGTAGGTAGCAGTTTTTTAAGCATTTACATGTACATATCATTTTTACTTTCCATGCTGACTATTTTGTCCTGTCCCCTATATCATGATTCATTCATCTGAAACTTTTGGATTGTGTTTACATGTATGTAAAAATAGTTAGTAAGTTATTTCTGTATTTTTATACATACTGGTACATAGAATTTCTTTTATTCTGACAGAAAAGAAATACCATTTCAGTTGGCTCCAATCTCAGCAGTTGATAGGAAATGAGTTTTCTGATTTTGACATCTTTAAGATGAACCTTAATTAAAATATTATGGCACTTCATAATGAAAACACAATTGATTGATCGTGCTGAATGTCACGTAAGCACTTACGGCTTTTTCTTTGTTGTCCATTTGTATTGGTGGACACTTTGTACAGTAGGCAGGAATTTAATATGAAATAAGCGGCAGAAAAAAATAGGTCAGTGGCCCACCGTCACTTAGTATTTCCAACTTCATGATAAAATTGTATACTTTTAAGGTTGAGAAATTAAGATGATATATATGCCAAGGCTGCAGATTGAATAATTTGTACATGTACACGTACCTAAATCTGAAACAAATCACAGATGAAATTAAAATTAGTCATACATGTATATGCATCTGATATAATTTTTCAAACTGGTTATCGCTTTATGATATATATATACATGTAGCATGATGTAGTGTAAGCATAAATTATAGAGCACAAAGTTTTTTAAGTTTGGGTTACTCACACATCTTCTAATCCTTATTCCAAAAAGGTAGTTTGTGCAAATATTAAAACTTACTCGTTCTATGAAAACAGAAATATATCCCCCATGTCAATGCTGGTGTATGCCTTTGAATCCCAAACAAAATAAAATGAGTAAAAGGAGGGCAGAATGATTTTACCAAGTAACTGTAAGGATGTTAGAATAAGTAAAATATTGCTCCAGATGAGTTGAAAAGGAATATTCTGTGCAATAACATGCAGGAAATAACTAAGGACATAATAAAAAAAACTGGCATGGCAGCTGGTGAAAATTCATAATCATTTAGATGCAAAACAATCACCCTGCCCCCACCAGAATGAATTCAAAAAGACCTCCCAATCATGATTTACAAATTGATACCAGTCACACTTGATAAGCAGGAGATATTCAACAAATAAAATCTGGATATATTTATGCAGGTAGGAGTTTATATTTATAATTTAAACATTACCAATGACACGCCGAACAAACAAAACATCATGAATTTTGGTATAAAATTCTTTGTGAAAATGCAACTTTTTTCATTAAAATTTTTATGGTTCACAATACACAAACACTAGAAGAGACCTAGTAGGCTAATCTATTAATTTATATAATGAACTTGCACTTGGAAAATGAGAACTATACAAGCACACCAAATGCGGATTCCGGATTTGAACAAAAAAAGGGGGAAGGCTGCATGCCCCAAGACTCTGTATAATAATGACCTGAATAATTCTGATTTTTTTCCTTCATTAAATTAAGCAAGCAATAAGATCATATTTGTTTATTCGCCCAATCATATCATTATGACATGAAACGCCGGTGAAAACAAAATATACATTTAGTTTTTCCGTCAGCCGATCCGACTATTACAGGGTCTTTCGAACGCTTTTTTCTTGCATTTCAGGGCGATTATGCTACTACATCTTAAATTTATTGAAAAGCCAGGTACAAGAGCTATACCAACCCACTCCATTCTGGTATTGGTAGAAAGGGCACATTTCAAATTTTTCAAAAAGTGCTGCTACTAGTTATATAACGTTCGTGTAAAAGAAATTTCACAACCTGAAGTGCCAAAAAGTCAATAAATCGATAGAATTCTCCATGTTTTATTGTTTTTTATTTACAAAACCTCTAATAAAAAACTAGTGGCAGCACTTTTCCAGTAAAATAAGTTATCCTGATTACAGGGAGACCAAAATCAGGGCGATCCGATTTCATCTTGCACCTGCACTTTTGACTTTTTTGGAAAATGTCTTTACTTTCAGTTTGAAGTCACGTGACACTAGTGTATTTATATTTTTCTATAAATAAAAGTTTGGAATGTAAATCTGAATAGACCCTTTTCTCTCCGTTTACTCCTATGACGTGTATTTTGGCTTTTAAACAGAGAAAACTAACTCTGAGTTCAATATGATTTTTCTTGTGTATAAAAATGGGAAATTTCTTAATACGACCTTAACATCCCTGCGTTGTTCCACTTAAGTTTGATTTTAATTACCGAGAGGATAAGTAAATAAATAGCAACTTAATGACAAAGATGACTAACAGACATTTAGAGGTCAGTATACGGCTGCAACAATTGCCAAGTGTCTATATACTAAGTTTAGCTATAAACCACACATAGGTCATAAACAAGTTGTGATTCAATAAAATCGAAACGATAGCAACTCTATCATCAACCCGAAGTTCTAGACAATTCAAAAATAATTTAGATACGTCAAAAAAAACCCACCGAGATGTGCCACTTTTTATGAACCAATTAAAAAATTTCAATGTCAAAGTGGCTTATCAAACTAATAATCTAAATGTGTAACCCCGCCACATTCTGTCCCAAGTCAGGAGACTGTTATTCAGTGGTTGTCGTTTGTTTCTGTGTAACACATTTGTTTTTCGTTCATTATTTTGTACATAAATTAGGCCGTTAGTTTTCTCGTTTGAATTGTTTTACATTTGTCATGTCGGGCCTTTTATAGCGGACTAAGCGGTATGGGTTTTGCTCATTGTTGAAGGCCTTACGGTGACCTTTAGTTGTTAATGTCTGTGTCACTTGGTCTCTTGTGGAGTGTTGTCTTATTGGCAATAATACCACATCTTCTTATTTTTATATTGTAAGTACGCGATAATTATTTGGTCAAGCTGTTTTAGAAGATATCTATCACAAATATACCCGAATGTGTCCCTCTCTTTACTGCAAGAATCCAATCCTCTATTGTGACTGGCATCATCGAATATCAACTCCAAGAGCGCAGCCTATGGGTAAAGTACTCTTAAACGTTCCGGAGTAAATACTTTCAATTCACGGTTTATATTCAGGTCTGAGTTAGCAATTTTCAGTTATACTCATAATGTTTTAACCACCCTTAATTCCTTGCTTTCTAGCAAGTTCATTTTAATGTATGTGTCATATACTAGTATATGCATATGTACGTATTCTGTATCTTATATAGATTCATTTTAAATGGTTACCATGGTGAAATAGTATTACCTTGATCAAGAGGGCTTAACAAACTGAAAGCCAGAAACGTCTTCATATTAGACTTAATGAATTAAAAGAACCCACAGATACAAGCCAAAATTATCTAAGGCCAGCTTTATCTGAAAGATTTGCAACCTCAGTTTTTATAAATAAGTTTCAAATCTAAGGTTGCAAAAATATTTATGAGCTGCATGTTATAAATCATGCGAAGCACTGACTAATGGGCAACTATTACCCTCGAGGTTTACATTCCGCTAGCAGTGGAATCGACTCAGTGCTAGACAATCTCAATACAACTTTATATAAACTGTGATCCACCTTCATCAGATCCACTACAAACGAAACGATTCAAAGCCGGAGATGCATAAATGCCTGGGAAGATATAAAGACAATTAAAAAAAATTATAGACAAAAAATCTGATGCCAACTTCACATGAGGGCGGTTAAACCTCAGTTTCGAAATAAACATCAAATGTATACACAGACTAT